TGCCAAATCTTGGTCTCATTCTCTGATCCTCACTTTACCCAACTGAATGTCAAATTTTGATTTCTCTGACCTTAGCTTTACTCCACAGTTTCTGCACCCATCAGACTACCTCACTAGTTATTAAAAATTGGTCCTTTAGATGTAATTTTGGTTCACTGATTATCAAGTGTGAATTTTTCTGATCAGTGATGTTCACTGAACGTGACTGTATAGCTTACTTAATGTACATTATTCTATTTGTATTGTGCCAGTATAAAACTGTTATATTTATGGAAAATGATTGTATGCTTTGGTTTCTAAGGAATTTTTCAAAAGAAGTATACGTGATGATGGTTTGAAAAATATACAGGTTGAACTTTAGTTTAAAGTATTGATGAAAACTATCCAATATTCAGCTTGGGCAGTAATGTGATGTAACCCAGGCCTAACTTAGGTCAAAATTTAGTGAATTAAGTTGCAAGTTCATTTCTGAAGAAGATAACAGTTTGTAAATTGTGACTAATTTTATTTCATTAAGCCTAAAAGGCCAGTAAAGTAGCCTCATAATCTAATGCAAGTTTCTTGGAGATATTATATTTTTTTAGTATTCCACATAACCACTCCTAACACATGTGATCATACATCTTAACAGGTGACAGCACTTCAGATGGCAGGAGAAAAACTCCTTCAACAGAATCACTTTGAGAGTAGAACAATACGAAATAGGCTTAATGAAGTAATGAAGAGGTATGAAAATATAATTTTGTTTAATATCCTTTTCTGGTATTTTTATGCTTTTACATAAGTAATTATAAAAAAAAAAACTTAACTTCTATCAAAAGATTTTTACAGAAAAAGTGTTGTCTTAAGGTGGAATGTGTATTTAAAAAAACATTTCCACATCCACTTTAATTGATCTTTAAATGTTTAATATATTTGCTTGTGTAGCCATGGCGTAAGTTTGGGCAAGTATGTGGTATATGAGGATACTGAAACAAATTTTTTTTCAGTCAAGTAGTATGTTTTTTCTCTTGGAACATTTTATCATTCCTTCCACATGTGCACAAATTTTAAGATGTCATCAACCCTATTCCTAAGTATGTTCACAGATAATTACACTTTATATAAACAGTTTAGTTTGTATGTCATCACTGATGTGAAATATGATGCCATGGGTGACATGTTTAGCATATATATATTTGATTCTGGACAAATTCCCAATCTTTAACTCACACAGAGCCAAAGAACAAGACATTTTCAAGAAGGGAGCCTTCAGTGTTTTCCATATAAATGGAAAAATTTGCACAGCAGAATGCTTAGAGCATCAATGCCCACATATGCATCTTGAAAGCTATGATTAAGAAAGAGAGCCTTCTGATCCAAAATGCCATTGTAACCATTAACAAGATAAGGAGCAAAGGTTTAAAGTTAATGAAGGTTTACAAACCTCCAGCCATCTTGAAATCAATGGATGACAATTAACTGAAGAAAGTGGAATCACAGCAATCCTTTTGACCACACATATGTAAGGTCTCCTAGTGCAGTTCTAGTGGACTTTTGTGCCTCTGGTCTTTTTAAATGTGGCTTTGATGCTGGTGTCCATGTACAGTGCATAATCCTGATCACGGGTTTGAGCACAGTGAAGAATAGAGCAAGTATTTCCAAAACACTGGGAACATTGTTTTTATGAAGTGTGCTTATCCATGAGTAATACATACCTGCATATATACGTAAGTTAAAAGATGAGATTCTCTTCAGAAGCATATTCCTATAAGTATTTTTAAAATGGATATTTGTCTGATGAACAAACTAGAATACAGTGACCGGTCTATTAGGATCCCTCATACACGTAGTAGAACACTCACTTGACTTGCTTATGCAAAATAGACTGATCATGTGATGATGTGATTGTTTGAGCTGCATAAAGACAAAGATGTAGCAATATCATGCTCTGTAAACAACTTAATACTAGGAAACTATCAGATGGCACCAAAAACTTTCCTTAAAATTCAAAGTGGAAAGCATGGCTTTAGTATTGTTGTTTAAAAGTGCAAATTGTGGAGGACATTGAATGATCTAATGATTACAGGTTATATCCTCTACTTCAACCTTAGATATCATCATATATATTAAATATAACAGAAAAGCCAGGAATGCTGTCTTAAAAGAGGCATTGTTTCAACATGAAGAAATCTTGCTTGGCCTCTCACTAAGATCAAGTTTTTCTTTTTTGTTTTTTAGGAGAGCAAAAGTAAAAGAAATTGGCCAAGTAAGAAAACAGAAGTTAGGAGATGCTCTGTTACTTGCTACCTTTAGACGAGATGCTGCAGAGGTATATGATTATCAAAAGAAATCAGTTTATAGTGTTGTGGGCTTTATTGTAATGCTTTCTTTAACCAAAGATTATTGTAATATTTTCATTTTTGGTACATATTCATATCATATGGTAAGAAAATTTTCTAATAGTTGAATTTTCAAAACCTTCATATTTCTATAATAAAAATCAAAAATAGATACACATCATGCTATAACTTCTTATCATGTGCTAAGAAATGATATTTAAGAGCTGAATTCTCAAAACCATCATATTTGTATATTAATAAACCTATAATCATTGTACATCATGTTAAGACTTTTGGTCTCGTTTTTAGGACCATGTTACTTGTTGATTACTGTTAAAAATAGGACTAAAATTAAGCTAATTTTAAAAAAAGTTATAACTTGATGTAAACACATCTTTTGTGACTTATTGTGAAAACCCTTATCATACTGAATCCATATGGTGTCTGGAAACAGAAGTAGTGGGTGTACCAAGTACAACCCAAGTAAGCAAGGAGCTAGAAAATCCAAAGAAGTTGTTAATATTCTAAAAGTATAACTTTTCAAGATTCCAAAGGGTGTGAAAACATAGGTCTTAGTGACACAAATCCGATTTTCATAATATAAATGTAAAAACTCAAATAAGAGGTACCTGATTACCATTGATTATTATCCTTTAAACAAGGGAAATAAAAGTAATGAAAATTTTAACCACTTTCTGTCTCAAAGAAATCCACAAGAAAACATTTTGGCAATTATTATAGTTCTAAGAAAGCTAATGTTGAAATGGTAGGCTTTGGACTTTGTTTTGTCACTTGGTTCTCCAGAAGGTTGTGTCAAGTAAAATATTTTCATAGTCACGAAGTAAAATTGTTCAGGGAATGATCTAATTATTGAAAAGATTAAACAAATTTCTAACTTTTTCCTTAGATTTTGTTTCTAAATAAACAGTTATTTCCTACAATATAATCTGTTGTTGTTCAGGCTGAAGCATGGATTGAAGAAAAGAATAAAAGCCTTGAGGTAGAAGTAGCAAGGGGAGAAGTAAATAGCATAGATGACAAAGTGAAAAACCTAAAGAAACATCAAGCTTTTGAAGCTGAACTGACTGCTCATGACCAAAGCATTGCAGAAATTAAACAGGTTAATTGAGTTGATTCACATTTTTAGTTTGTTAAACATTACTGTAGTGTTGACCAGAATGCTAAATTCCAACTCCATAATTAGAAAACAAAATGCTGGCAAGTTTTTGATGCTAGTTCTCACTGGTCAACATTGCAAGTTATTATTATTACTAATCAATGAGTGTAATAATGTATATGTAATTAGAAAAGATGTTCACATATGTGATCAGAGCATTTTTCATATATACACTATTGCAGCAAATGCTCATACACTATCAGAGCAGATGTTCATATGTACATTATGAGAGCAGATGTATCTATACCTTATCTGAGCAGATGTTCATGTGTACATTATCTGAGCAGATGTTCATGTGTACATTATCTGAGCAGAT